ACACTGCCGGTTCTCCTCATTTTCCGGTGTCTAACACCTGAGGCAGTTTGAAGAGCCTGCCCTGGGAACACGGGTCCAAGAAGGTGACTGAGCTATCTGAGCTCATCACTGAAGATGCAGCTGCCACTTGTCCCAGCCTTTTAAGGACATGAGAGCCGTCCAAATCCCTGGAAAATTCCATAATCCCTCAGCCAGGCAGCACCCTCCAGGCTGCCTCTTGGGCCTGGAAGTGATGCGACATTCTTGGCCACCTATTTTTAATTCAGAAAACGGATTCAGCTTGGCAATGATAGGCTTCGGCAGCACTGTGCTGGGATTATAGGCCTGTTCCCAACAGCTCCTGGAGCTCACCCAATGCCGCTCTATCTCCTTAACCCAGATGAGCCTCTGAGGGTACCTGCTCGTCCCTCTGGCCTTTTTCCTATTTAACCCGCTATGGCAACCATGTCAAAACAAAAACAAAAACAAAAACAAAAGGGCAAGAAATGAAAGGAAACACATCTCTCTTGAATTCGGTGTCGGTGGGTTTCAGGCTTCAGCAGAGCCTCATTCCAGCAGGAAACAGCGATTCTAGGGGATCAGACGAGCAAGCATGGCGGACTGACACACACACCACACCCGATGACCGTGGCCCAAGAAAGACTTGAACCAAGGGCACGACCACACAGTCTGTGCCGGGCACAGCTCTTGGAAACTGCATTACTTTGAAAAGGGGTGCGGGGGTGGGGAAGGCCCGGCGGCATGGCCTAGCAGCTAAAGTCCTCGCCTTGAACGCCCCGGGATCCCATATGGGTGCTGGTTCTAATCCTGGCAGCTCCACTTCCCCTCCAGCTCCCTGCTCATGGCCTGGGAAAGCAGTGGAGGATGGTGCAAAGCCTGGAGCCCCTGCAACCACATGGGAGACCCCAAAGAAGCTCCTGGTTCTCGGCTTCAGATCAGCTCAGCTGCGGCCTTTGCAACCATTTGGGGAGTGAACCAACAGATGAAAGATCTTTCTGTCTCATTCTCTCTGTAAATCTGCCTTTCCAATGATAATAATCCTTTAAATATATGTTTATTTATATTTAATATTCATATATATATAAATTCCAAAAATGGTGCATAAAGATGACTTGAAATCCATTTCCCTTAAACCTTTGGCATGGGGACTGGAGAGTTCCTGCAGACAACACGTATTGGGCTCAGATAGGCTGGAGGCAAAGTGACAGGGTGGTGGTGTCTGGGACAGAAGGGAGGAGAGAAAAACCAGGAAGACATAATCAGTTAGTGGAAAGAGGTGTCCGTCCTCCAGACCCTGTGACAGGCAGCCCACAAGCGCCCCTCACCTAGGGGTCCCTGAGTCCGACCTCCGTTTCTATGATTCGCTGGGAGGACGTGCAGCATGCACGGAGAGCTGCTGCGTTCCCGGCTGCGGTTGATGACGGCGAGAGGAAACTTAAGTCATTCAGCGGGGGAGATGCAGGGGCAGGGTCTAGACCCACCCCCATCCCGTGCTTCCTGCGGGGGTCGCTGGCATTGTGGGAAGTGCTGTCTCCAGTGGCCACACGTGGCTGTGTGCATGGACTGTGTCAGTGAGACGCTGCCTGGCTCTGTGGGCCCTCAAAGTCCCACCGTCTGCTGTGGCCGGCACCGCCAGGTGGGCCAGGACGCATTTCTCCACATCTCCGTCCAACTCCATGGTCTCCCAGCAGCTCAGAGCAAATGTCAGCATCTCTTCAGCTGATTTGTTTTAAGAAAAACAAAAATGCATTTATTTGAAACACACTGTTACAGGAACAGAGATGCTTTGCTCCCCACATGGCCACAGCAGCTGCAGCTGATCCAGTCCGAAGCCAGGAGAAGCCTCTTCCAGATCCCCGACGTGGGTGTAGGGTCCCAAGTACTTGGTCCACCACCAACTGCTTTCCAGGAACATGAGCAAGAGCTGGATCAGAACTGGAGCAGCCGGAGCACGAACCGGCACTCACCTGAGATGCCAGTGCCAAGCTGAGGGCAGGTTAACTCACTGTGCCACAAACACCAGCCCCAGGATCAATTCTTCATTCCATAGCCCTAAGCTGGTTGATTTTTATCTTGCTTCTGACAAATGTGACCATCTCACATTTGCAACTTTTTCTCTGGGTGAGAAGGAAGGGGAAAAAATAAATGGGTTGCACCAGCCAATGGCCTCGCACCACACAGCAGGGCAGCTTCCGGGGCGGGGCTTCCGGGGGCGACCACCACAGGAGGATTCCGTGCCCACCTCTTGTCCTTGGCCAGACTTTTTCCCTCCTCTTGAGGGACCCTTTCCTGGTCACTGAGAGGGCCAGCACCCCCTGGAGATGAGCCCCTGCCTGGGTTCAAATCTGCATTCAGTTTCTGGAGAGTGACAGATGTCAGCGCCAGGTCCATGAAGCTCAAAGATACCATTTCATTACCAGCTGTCAAGTGCCTATTTCCAGAAACTTCCAAGATGTAAGTTGAGGCTTATCTTCTCAATACCAGATAACAGAAACTTAAAAAAAAAAAAATGTATCACCCTGAAATTTGGAATTAGTGAGTGGAGATGTGTGGTCCCTGACAACACACAATGCCATCGTGGCTTAACCACCAGCCAGGTCCACTGCTGTTCCCTGCTGCTCGTGGCCAGCAACGGTGTCCTCCTCCTCTGGTGAAATAAGTGTGTTGGACCAGCACATCTCTCCACTTCCAGAATCCCTCCCTCTCAGGATCAAGGGAAATATTCTAAACATAAATGAGACAGCGGGAGGCCGAGATGACTGCGTGTGAATCCACTGGCTTCCCCTAATTAACTTTTGCTAAAAATGTCATGCTTTCTATATTTGAAAAGGCAGAGGGGGAGAGAAGCGCTCTCTGGGTCACTCCCCACGTGGCCACAGCACTGATGCTGAGCCGGTGGCAGCCAGGAGGCGGGACATGGCTCCATGGCTCCGCGTGGCCAGCAGCAACCTGAGGACTAGAGCCATTACAACTGCCTCTGCAACGTTCATTGCTATCACCCAAAAGGTGGAATAAGTAACATTTGGATAAAATGCCTAAAATTATGATTTAAAAAAAAAAGCATGTCATTCAGTCCTTACACACTGATGTGTGTGTGTCAGTCAGGTATAAATAATTGAAAACTTTCTCAATACTTGGCTTTGCAAATGGTTCCAGCCACGGTGTTAGCCAAGCGGGGATTTTAATAATAGCTTGCCTGATAAGCACAGAAGATGGCAGGAAATAGCACTTGGGGACTGAGCTGGAGTTACTCGGGGCTCTCCCACCTACCCGCGTGGCCAGGAGGCTGCGGTCCAGCTGCCCCACGCAGGCTGTGCTACGCTCAGCTTCCTGCCTACGTTCCCCCTTGAAACCCTGTGAGTTTTCAGACAGATCCCTGCACTATGGCGCAGTGGAGTGTGAAAGCGACGGCTTCCATCGGCTGTTCAGGTGCCAAGCAGCACAGCCCATCAACATGGCACACAACATGCTCTCCCCTGAGCTTGGGAAAGACGGGCAATCCACAGGGTGCCCGTCCTGGGGACACCCACAGCAGCCGGCCAGGAACTGTGACACACAAGGAGGAAAGACTTAGTCGGAAGGGGGTGGCAAGGACTGGACCGTGAGGAGCGGCGAGGGCAGCGCTTAGCCAAGGCCAGCACCTGGAGATGAACTGGAAGAGCTGGGTGGTGCTGCGCCACCACACCGCAGGCCAGACGTGGGCGAGTGTATGGGCGCTTTCAGCAGCCTGCTGAGCAGTGCACAGGTGCAGTTCCTCCACAGGCGAGGGCAAGGGCCAGAATCGGCCTCCTGGCTTAAGGAGAGGTGGTTGTCAGGGAGAGGAGAGACCTAGGAACGGGCAGAAGGCTGTGTGGACCTGGGGATGGGAAGGGGAGGATCCATGGATCCACCAGCCACGCGTGTGTGGGGTGAGGGCCAGCTTGCGGGTGCTACCTGGCTGGACAGGGACACGCAGCGTACGAGATGGACACACTGTGTGCACTGGCACACTGTGCACTGACAGACACACCATGCATTCATTGACGCAGTGTGAGACAGCGGAGCAGGGAGGAGGGCTAGGGGTCCGCGGAGATCCCCGTGGCCCTCCGGCCGAGGAGGCAAGCAGCAACTCCTTCCTGGCGTTGCCTTTCGGACTGCCAGGGCAAAGGCAGAACCTTTCCCTCTGAAAGCGTCCGCACCGGCACGGCGCAAAATGCAGAGTGCGGGAACTTGAACACCCCGCGAGGAACACGCGGCGAATGCGCCGTCTCCGCCGCGTACCCCGGGCCAGCCCACGCGGAGCGGCACCACCACGGAGCCCTGGGTGACTGGCCCGGCAGGAGAGCCGGTGGCTGTCTCCCCTCGAGGGCCCACACACAGCCGCATACTGGGCCGCGCTAGGGTCTCGGGGTCGCAGAGGGCGGCCAGTTGAGCCTGCGTCCAGAACTGCCAGGGGGCGGTCTCCGGGTTGGGCTCCTCTTCTCTGTAAGGGTCGGGAGCTGGCAGTGGGGGACAGTGACCCCGGGAACCCCGGGCTCTGCCCGGACTCGCGAAGGCATCTGCAGCGCGGAGCACAGGGCTCGGGGCAGCAGAGGCGGGTCGCGGGACCCTCTCCCTGCTGGACGCAGCAGAGGATGCCCGGCATGGGCGAGGCGAGAGGTTCACGCGGACTTGGGGACAGAAGGTCGCCTTGTCTGACGCTTCCTAGAACGCCCCGAGAGCGGGGGCAGCCCGGCCCACAGCGAGCAGGGGGTGGGCGGGCGGAGGCGCAGCCTGCGGGCTCCCTCCCGCCGTCCCCGGCTGCCGGGCAGGGCGCGATCGGCGCGGGGGAAGCGATGCGGGCGAGCGCCAAGTGCCCGGCGGCGGGCTGCTCCCGCGGGACTCGGGTCGCGCCCAGCGCTGGCACCCCCGCCGCGCTGCCGCCCGGCCTCGCCCCCGCCGCGCGCGCCCCTCCCGCCTCCCCCGTTGCCGTGGCAACCCCGGGAGCCTCCAGGCGCGCGCGCGCCCGCGGGAGCGCTCGGCAGCGGCGGCGACGGCGGCGGCGGCTCGGGCTCCAGCGGCGCGCGCTGCGACCCCCGCTCCGGAGCTCGTGCGTCGCCCCCGGCTCGGGCCCGGGCCCCCCGCGCGGCCCCCATGGAGCTGCTGGCGGCCGCCTTCAGCGCCGCCTGCGCTGTGGACCACGACAGCTCCACCTCGGAGAGCGACACGCGCGACTCGGCGGCGGGACACCTGCCCGGCAGGTGAGAGAGCGCGGGCGGCCCTGCTTTCCCTCGCGCGCCACCCCGCTTTGCTGCCCACCCGCCTTGCGCCCCGGGCGGCAGGCACCCATGCGCTCGGCTTATCCGCAGCCCCCACCGTCTCTGCGCCCCCATTCCCACTCCAATCCCTCGTCGGTCCCGCTCCCCTCCGCCACCGCCACCACCACCAGGCAGCCGGCGAGGATTGCGTCCTGGCGCGGACCCCTAGCGCCCCGTCCCTGCCCGGAGTCACCCCGCGCTCTAGGCGCGAGTGTCGCTTCGGCGCCCCCCTCGGCCCGCCGCGGGAGCCCCGGGACGCGAGCCTGGGGCCCCGAGAAGGGCTGGGAGCCGGGCGGTGGCGACGGACACGAGGCAGCCTCCTCTCGGCCGGTCGGAGCACTCGTCGGGGGTGGCGGGTCGGTGCCGCGTAACGGGCAGGGCGCGCCAAGTTTCCGACGCTTGCCAGGGAGCTCCAAAAACCTGAAGGGCCGGGCGGGCTGGGTGGGAATGAATCACCCAGTGGCGCCCCAGGGCGGTGACAAACGGGGTCTTGTGGGGCCCGCCCGGCTCGGAGGGGCGGCGGTCGCTGTGGCCATGCCGCCTGGACGGTCCTGGACTGGGGCCTGCTGGCCGGCCAGCCTGCCCACGGTGTCTGTGGTTGCCTGGCAGTAACGGGCCCCTGCCTCCTCCCTCTCCCGCAGCGAGTCGTCCTCCACGCCTGGCAATGGGACCACACCCGAGGAGTGCCCGGCCCTGGCCGACAGCCCCACCACGCTCACCGAGGCCCTGCAGAGGATCCACCCCATCCCCGCCGATTCCTGGAGAAACCTAATCGAGCAAATAGGTGCGTAGCCGCCGGGCGGGGCAGACCCTGGCTACAGACGGGCTTGGGGTCTCCCTCCTGTCAGGGCGCAGCGGAGTGGCCCCTGAGCGCGTGCGCCTGTGGTGGCTGGGGGACCCGTCTGGATTTGTGTCTGAGCGGCGTCTTAGGCCAAAGGGCCGCGTAACCAGAGCGCGCCGCGGCCGGACCTACTCCGCAGGTTGCTTTCTGTCCCGCGGTCTCCCGGAAGGTCCACCCAAGGCCAGCGCTTTCCCGCGGAGGTGGAGAGGGGGTGCAGGGGGCAGCGCTGCTGATCTCAGAGGGAGCCAGGACTGGGCGGCCCCAGCCGACAGGGGCCAGGGGAGGCCTGGCAAGGCGCGCAGCATTGGAGCTAAGGAAAGGGCAAGCGTGTGCCAGCGGCCTGTGGGAGGCCGAGGAGGCGCTGACTTTGCACAAGGTGGGATTTGGATGCGACAGGGCTGTAGGAGGAGCCAGTGTCTGAGGGCGGGGAAGTCCCTAAGTGTGTGTGGGGGGGGGGGGGGGGGAAGGGGGGGGAGGCACAGAAGCTGCTCCTGTGCCAGATCACCAGCACCTGCAGTTGGAACAAAGACAAGGGGAAAAAAAACTGCTAATGACATCAGCCTGGGGCTGTTGCCAGGCCAGGCAAGCCGGGAGCCCGTGGGTTGCATTGCCCTAAGAGTGGGCCCTGGGAGTGGGCCTGGCTGCTTGGAACACCTCCCTGCCCTCAGATACTATGGGAACGGTCCCGCTTTAAATAAACTCTACCGATTTGGAAAGTTTCTTATTCAGGCTGTAATTACCACCCTCTGGTCCCCGGTCCTGGGACACATCAATTCAGAGTGACCCCAGAGTGGAAGGGCAGCTGCCCCGTCCCAGGGCCCAGCTGGCCCACTCTGCAGGCTGCACCTGCTATCCCCCACCCCAGCCCCAGTGCACTACCCAACCTGCGGAAGAGCTGGGCCGCAGAGCGTGGCACTGGCAGGCCCCTGCATGCCAGGCTGGCCCAGGGCACCTGTGCCCGGATGAGAGGCAGACTCCTCCTTCCCGCCTCTGCCCTCACAGACCCAGGAAATGCTGCCTTCCACCCTCTTGCAAGGGTTCTTCTTAGAGTAAGAGCAGAAAGAGGGTCAGGGGCCATGGTGCTGGGGGAGGGGCCCCCAGAGGCTGCTGTGTGCAGCCTGAGGTGAGCAGGCACCTTGGCAGTGTGAGCTGGAAGCGGGGTGTGGGGCCCTGGAGGCCTTGCATTTCTTGACTGCTAGATGCCACATGCATTCTGAGTGTCTCCCCCAGGGCCCTTGCCAGAAGCCTCTGGTCCCTGGAGAACCTCTTCCTGGTGGGTGTGTGGGGTGATGCCCCAGGGGAGGTCTCTGCTCAGAACCTCTGTCTCAGCTGTGGGTGGGGTGCAGAGCTGACTTCTGCTGCCAGGAAGGACAGCAGGTTCCCATGGGAATGGCATGGAGCTCGGAGGCCCTCGCGGGCATTCTGAGGACCATGCTGCTGCCACAGGCAGTAGCTCCCACCAGAGCCAGGCAGCAGTGGGTTTGGCCTGTGCCCGGGGGGTGGGGGTCACAGAAGCCAGCTGAGGTGCCAGCAGATCCTGCGGGCAGCTACCTAGGCACACATGCCTGTGGGTCTGCGCGTGCTTCGCGGCCTCTGGCACCTGGGGTTTGTCTTGAAGAGGGTTCTCAATACAAACCAACTGTTGAGAAGGTGTCAACCAAAATGCATTCTGGGAAAGAAAGGACCAGCAAGTGGGCGGGGCAGAGCGTTGGAGAGGCTGGAAGGGATGGGGATTCCAGCCTGGCCACGAGCTTTAACTGAGGAAGGACGGAACCGGACACTTTCATAAGTGAGAGCTTGCTGTGACGGTCATGGTTACTGAATTGCAAAGCCTGCAGCGTGCAGTGCAAGTATGACACAGCATCCTGCAGGTGGCGCTGTCCTCCTTGAACAGCAATCGCAGTTCCCGGCAAGTGAAAGTGGGTGTGAGAGTGGCCCCACAGCTTGCCGGATGAGGCCTGCTGCTCATAGCAAGCCTGAGGAAATGGGTGTTCACAATCAAGCTCTAAACACCTTTGGAGGACAAAAGTATAAGATTTTTAAAAATCAATTTGCATTGAGAGCTACAAGTAAAAATATCTGGTGAGGAGTGATGCAGAGCAGTGGGCATGTCCTAGTTCAGGTTGCACATCCAGAACCAATCCATCCCAGCCAAACCATCACCCGGCTCCCTGTCCACCTCCATGCGTGCCTCATGGTGCAAGACAGGCTGCTGCAGGTCCGGACATCACAGCCTATGTGGAGAAACCATGGGCGCCCTTTGGCTTTCCTGGGCCAGCATCTTCTTTTGCTCCTGGTGCTACAACCAAACCCCTCTCATCAGGTGACTTGGAGACAGCAGGCTGTTGGATTATGGTTCTGGAGGCTGGGAAATCCCAGACTCGCAGAGCCTCCTACACATCCTCACTGGGACGACAGGGAAGAGGTGGCCCCCCTTTTGCTTTTGTAAGGGCAGGAATCCCACTGGCGAAGGAATGGGGCCAGCGCGCTCTGGCACGCCCATGCCACAGGGAGGAACTGTGACAGCAGGCTTTGGTCAGTCCTCCTGCCGCTCCGTCCTGGAGCACAGTATGCCAGAAGCCGGTCTGCGGACTGCAGGCCCTGGAGAGGCGGCCAGCGGCGGCCGCTGCCCTGCAACCTCCAGGTGGCAGTCTCCACCCCAGTGAGCCGCTAGGCAGATGTTGTGGGATCAGTCTGGCCCAGCAGCCAGCAGCAATCCATGACATGACATACTTTTGTGAAGCTTGGAAACTGCATTTTAAAAGGAGAAGAAATCTATTTTATCTGAAAGGGACAGTCAGAGAGAGACTCTTTCTTCCAATGGTTTGCTCCCCCAACTAGCTGCACCAGCCAGGTCTGGACCAGGCTGAAGCCAGGAGCCAGGAGCTTCCTCTGGGTCTCCCACACAGGTGCAGGGACCCAAGGACCTGGAGCAGCCGGGATTCAAACAAGCGCTCATATGTGATGCCAGCACTGCAATGGCAGTTTAACCTGTTACATCACACTTCTGGCCCTGGAAGCTGCATTTTCAAAAGGTGTTCAGGGGCCAGCTCATGGCACGGCAAGCTAATCCTCTACCTGCAGAGCTGACGTCAGTATCAACACTGGTTTGAGTCCTGGCTGTTCCATTCATTTTCCATCCAGTTCCCTGCTAATATGCCTGAGAAAGCAGCAGAGAGAAACCCAGGTTCTTGGGGCAATGCGAGCACAGACACACCTTGTGCATGGGCAGTGGGGAGCCAGGAGAGACCTTACCCGCCACTGTGTCCTGCGGGACGCCGCCGTGACGTCATCACAGGCCCGGCAGCTCGAAAGATGCTTTTGTTGTTGTGCAACATTGTTTTTATACTTATATTTTATTTTGATGATCTTTACATAGTTGATTGGGGCACAAAGGGTCAAGGGCTGCAGGAAAGTGGGTAAGACCATTGTTTCCACATTCTCTTTTTTCCTTTTTGTGCAATTTTTTTTTGAGATTTATTTAGTTTTATTGTGAAATCAGATATACAGAGAGGAGGAAAAGCAGAGAGGAAGATGTTCCATCCAATGGTTCACTCCCCGAGAGGCCACAACGGCCAGAGCTGAGCTGATCCAAAGCCAGGAGCGTCTTCCGGGTCTCCCTCACGGGTGCAGGGTCCCAAGGCTTTGGGCCGTCCTTGACTGCCTTCCCAATCCACAAGCAGGGAGCTGGATGGGAAGAGGTGCAGCCAGGATCAGAACCCGTGCCCATATGGGATCCTGGCACAAGCAAGGCAAGGACTTTAGCCATTAGGCTACCATGCCAGGTTATGCACAATATTTTTTTAATGATTTATTTGAAGAAAGAATCAAGATGGCAGAATAGGGCAAGGACAGGTTCAAACAGACAGAGAAACATTGGCCAGTGTGAAGCAGAGAGGGCACATTCCAGTAAAAAGGAGAGGACAGAGCAGCAGAGGGGCACCAGACTGATGGACACAGGAAAGCAGCAGACACAGTGGTGTGGTGTGGCAGTGACTGATACCCCAGTAGCATTCAGCAAGTAGCGATCTGAACTGCACCAGCAGCCGGAACTCCAGCAGCAACCAGGTGGGAAAGAACGTTCACTGGGAGCTTGGGAGGTGAACCCAGACAAAGAACTGCTCGTCCTGCTGCTCTGTTTGATTTGACCAGGAGCAGAGACAGAGCAGCAGGTCCCAGAAGGGCAGTGCAGGAACAGGGTGGATTTCACACCCCTTCCACCCCTAGAGCTGAGTAGGGCTCAATTTTGTATAGGGAGGCAAAGGCTATGGACAGTACTGCGCATGAGCTGGGAATGAACTCATCTCTGGCTCAGCAAACTGCAACAACACGGTACCTAAGGGTTCCACCCAAGATAGACAGGAGAAGCCCTCAGACCTTCGGCCAGCAGGTCAAGAACTCTAGTAGTGGCGTATCAGGCACCATTTTGTACAGTGTGGAAAACTTTAAGACTGCAGGGGCAACAGTGAGCTGCACATGTGCTGAGCTGGGAGCGAACTCACTGAGCTCAGTGCATTGCACCATCCCACAGGGAAAATAATACCAGCTATGGCAGTGTACAGGTAAAATAGGTCCACGTGGCCCTCAGACCTAACAGCCAACAGGTTCTGGCAAGTCACCACCAACAACAACCTAGCTAAATAGGACCCCTGGTGTCTCCCTAATCCTGGGACCTGCTTGAACGGACCTGGAAGAAAGGTTGTACAGACAATGGTGCAGGCTCAGCAGTGTCACAGGAGGTGGAGAGTGGTGAGCCAGGAGCTGGGGCTGTGGAGACCACGGTGGAAATCTAACATAAGAAACCAGACCTGGAACTCGCTGGAGGGAGTGGCACAAGTGACTACAAACAAAGAGCCATGTGCCAACTGCAATAAGTAAAATCAAACTGTAGACCTGTGGGTGACACCACTTAGAAACCTGCCCCAAGGAGAAGATTCTGCTAACCAGAATCTTCTGCTAACCAGAAGTACAATGACCAAGAGCAAAGAAGAAGACAGAGGCACAATGAATATTACCAAAAACTCCCTTGCAAAGGAGCAAAAGCCTTTGCCAATCTCAGAGTTCACTGAGGAAGACATTGAGAAAATGGGAGATACAGAATTCAAAACACTTGTTATAAAGCTTCTTATCAACAATGAAAAGCACTTATACAGAAGTTCAAGAAATTTAAGGAGCATGTCACACAGGAAATGAATCAAATGAAAGCTGATACATTAGAAATGAAGAATACAGTGGAACAAATTAAAAGCACAGTGGAGAGTCTCCCAAATAGAATGAAGGAGGCAGAAGAAAGAATCTCAGAATTGGAAGATATTTCCTATCACCAGGGGGAAACAAACAAAAAGCTGGAAGCAGAGCTGGGTCAAGCTAAAAAAGTATTCAAGAATTGAAAGACCTGATTAAAATCCCAAATGTAAGAATTAATGGAAGTCCCAGAAGGTGCAGAAAGAGAAGCTGGCATTGAGGGTGTATTCAATGAAGCAATAAAGGAAAATTTCCCTAATCTAAAGAAAGAATTGGGAAACAACATCCAGGAGGGACACAGAATTCCCAATAGGGTTGACCAAAAGCAACCTTCACCACAACACATGAAAATCAAGCTCTTTTCAATTGAACATAACGAAAAGATCCTTAAATGTGCACATGAAAAAAAAAATCAATTGACATATAAAGGAATGCCAGTTAAATTCACAGGAGACCTCTCACAGGAAACTCTACAGGCCAGAAGAGAATGAAGTGACATAGTCCAGATTCTAAAAAGCAAAAAATTGTCAGCCTAGGATAATGTACCCAGCAAAGCTTTTCTTTGTCTTTGAAAATGAGATAAAATTCTTCCACAATAAAGAAAAGTTAAAAAAAAATGCCTCTTCCAAACCTGCCCTACAAATGATACTTCAAGATGTTCTCTTGACAGAGAAGAGGAATAGCACCAACAAAACCAAAGGCAAATGTGAAGAATATCTTAGTAAAATTACAGAAGACTAAATCAATGTACAACCCATTGCTAAAATGACAGGACCAAATTACCACCCATTCATAGTAATCCTGAATGTAAGTGGCTTAAGCTCAATCAAACACCACTAGTGACTGGATTAGTAGACTGGATTAAAAAAGCAAAACCCATTTGTTTGGTTTCCTACAGAAGACATATCTCACCAACAAAGATAAGTGAAACTGTGTCACATGGGGTTTGTTGTTTTTGGGTTATGGTTAGTTTCATCTCTTCAAAACACTGCCTTCTGACCAAATTCTTCAGTGACTCATACATAATACAGTAGCATCATTTTCTTCAAGAAGGGTCTTGATTTTTTTTTCATTTATTCAGCGACACATTAGGCATTCAGTAGCATGTTATTTAACTTCATGGTGTTGTAAATTTCTATTTTTCTTCCTGTTGTGGATTTTTTGTTTTTGTGGCTTTTTATTTAAGAGGACATATGGCAAAAATTGAAATGTCTATGAAGAAGTCACAGGATGCAGTTAAGAAACCGCATTTTCCTATCAACATACTATTAATCAATACCATGTCAGTTAATGCCATAAGGTTGTAAATGGCTGTTGATGTTATGTTCAGGCTTTTAATTGATTGGGATGATAATTTGCTGGCTTTACCTTCAGACCAGAGATGGTCTCACCAAGAAATCGTTGAACCCACTAGGATAATAAGACACTGGACTTTATGAATGGTAAATTCCTCCAATGAAAGAACCTCAACTGAATTTGAACTGTGGTAATGCAGCAAGGTGGAGAAATCCACCATGGGGAGAGGGTTCGGGCAGGGGTGGGGGGAATCCCAGTGCCCATAACACTGTGTCACATAATGCAATGCAATTAATAAAAATAAACATTAAAAAAGAGGACATATGGTAACTGTTTAATGGAGACTATCACATCCAGATGTGAGGATGCAATGCAGTATGCATCTGTACTTCCAGATCAAAGATGGGCTCCCAATGAAACTGTTAACTATATGTTGACAATAGGATGCTGGACTTTCTGCCACTGTCCATGCCTACAATGATGGACATATGACTGTGTATGCAGAACTATATTATAGTAATGATATAGGGGAACTCAGTGTGGGGGGAGGAAAATTGGGGAGGGGGTGAGGGAAATCCAGGGCCCATGAAACTGTATCATAAAGTGATGATGATAATAATAATAAGTCTCAAAAATCAGAAAAATAATTTGGTCTCATTGGAAATGTTACACGAAGGGCCCAAAACTGTGAAGTTATCACATACATATTCTCTTATGATAATAAAAGGTGCTACATTTATTTGACAGGAAGAGTTACAGGGTAGGAATGGAAGGGTACAGAGAGAGAGAGAGCTCGCCCAACAGCTGTAAGGGCTGGGGTTGGGCCAGGCTTGTCGTTGGGTCTCTCCTGTGGACCCAACACTTAAGGACCCAAGCACTTAGCACTGCTTTTGCTGCTTCCCCTGGTACACTAGCAGGAAGCAGGATCAGCCAGGACTTGGCCGTATAGGATGCTCTTACTCCATCCAGGTGGTGGCTTAGCGTGCTTTGCCACACTAACCACACCCCTGGTGATAGAATCCCACTGCATCACAGCCCCAGGCCTCCTCGTGGTTGGATCAAGTCTCAACCTTAATTTGTTGACTGAAATTCTGCAGGTCAAGCTTTCCCCTCCTGGGTTGCAGGACGGAGGTGGGGGAGGGGGGAGGCAGGCACCCAAACCATTCTGCAACCCCAGCACCCATCGCTGGGATGATGGGATGCTGGCTTTTCCTTGCACAGGAAGATGGGCAGCGACTCCCGTTGCACGAATGAGCCAACTGGGGTTTTAATACTGAGGCATCTAAGGCTCTGGCAAGTGGCCTGGAGGGACATTGGCAGGCACTCTGGCAGTGCCTGCATCAAGGTCCCTGCCGCCTCTCCAGGTATCTGCCGGACAGATTGGGAGTGCACCTGCGGGTTTCTCTTCTGCTGGGGAAAGTTGGGCATGCTGAACCCTCCCGGGGATCTGCCTGGGCTGCAGCAGCTGAGCGGGGTGCGTGTGTGTGTGTGTGTGTGTGTGTGTGTGTATGTAAAATTGCTCCCGACAAGGACGCCCCGGCCTGGTAACTGTGGATGAGCGCGCCTCTGAAATCTCTATCTTCTCTCCCTGCCAGGGCTCCTGTATCAGGAATACCGGGACAAGTCGACCCTGCAGGAAATCGAAACCCGCAGGCAGCAGGATGCAGAGATACAAGGCAATGCCGACGGCTCCCCGGCCAGTGAGGGCATCCCCGAGGAGGAGGAGGAAGAGGAGGACGAGGAGCCCGCCAGCCCGCCCGAGAGGAGGACCCTGCCCCAGATCTGCCTGCTCAGTAATCCCCACTCGCGGTTCAACCTGTGGCAGGACCTGCCCGAGATCCGGAGTAGCGGCGTGCTGGAGATGCTGCAGCCCGAGGAGATCAAACTGCAGGAGGTGCGGGCTGGAGTGTGGGTGGGGGGCCGCCGGGGTGTGTCGTCACGGGCTGGGGTGACCGCGGGAGGTGTGTCGTCATGGGGTGGGGCGGGGTGTCGTCATGGGGGCGGGTCACTGGAGGTGTGTCATCACGGTCCGCCGGAGCCTGGGATGCACCTGTCTCTGGAGTTATGGGCGTGACTGCGGAACTCCCCTGAGGGCTGCCTTCCCGGCTGAGGTTAGCTTTGGGGCAGAGCCTGCCCGTCTTCGCCAGCGTCACTGGCAGGGGCTGTCCGACTGGAACACGTAGGGAATCCGTTATTGCATGGCACACACCTGCCAGGGGACCTCCCGGAACTTCTCCGTCCCCGGCGGGAGTCACCTTTGCCAGCAGAGAAGCTCCAGGTGACCCTGGACTCTCTGGGACCGAGGAGTCACTCCAGGCAGTCCCAATCCTTGGGATCCATGGCTTCCGGGTCGAGCCCAGCGGGGTCCTGGAATGGTGGGCACCTGGGGTTTCGCGCACCTGTTGCTGAGGAGTCCCGGGGTCGCCGGCTGGGAAAGCAGTTCGTTTCAGGCTGGCAGCAGCAGACGGGAGCAGCTGGAGGTCTGTGTGTTAACCTGTGTGTTGAGGGACGCGTGGTGGGAGAGGCCCTGTCCGGGCAGATATGGGTAACCTGGGTGGTCCTCCCCTGCCTCACTCTCGTTGCTGCTGGTCCTTGACTGGCACAGACATTGGCAGCTGCTGTTCCTTTTCCCAGCCCAGCTGGGACCACCAGGTTCCCCCATCGGCATCCCCATGATGCAGCTGCTGCTAGAGGAAGCTTTCATCAAACTAGCTGGGGTGCTTTTTGGGGTGTGTGTTTGTTTGTTTTTGGAAAGTAAGAGACACAGAAATCCTCCATCTGCTGGTGCACTCTCCAAATGGCTGCAACAGCCACAGCTTGGTTTGTCTGGAGCTTCTTCCAGGTCTCTCACATGGGTTCAGGGGCCCGTGCCCGTGGGTCATCCTCTGCTGCTTTCCCAGATCGTAAGCAAGGAGCTGCGTCAGAAGTGGGGCAGCCAGGACGTATCTCGCATCCATGTGTGATGTTGGTGCTGCAGACGGCAGCTTTGCCCACTGTGCCGCAGCGTCAACTCCTAAATTTTGATTTTTGAAAGGCCTCACAGCTCAGCGAGGTGTGTGGCCCCATAAAATTAGGAAAAAATGTTTAAATGTTGTTTTATGTATGAGCAGTGATTTGTAAATGATAGCAGTAATGGTTTTTTGGCAAACGTTCTGATGTAAAACTCAGAGACAAACCCTAACAGGACACAGAAGGCTGGGCAAAACCTTGCAGCACAAGCAAAGCCAAGAGCAGAGAGAAGGGCCCGTGTCGGAAGAAGAGATGAAATAATAAATGCCTGAAAGCGGCTAGCGCAGAGGAGGGGGCAGGTTAATGGGAACGTTGTCGGTTGTCAGAAAGGATCAAGGGCTTGGACTCGCTCTTTAGAAGTCAGACTCTCCAACATTTGCAAAACTAAACCGAGGGGCCAGTGCCCTAGCGTGGTAGCTTAAGCCTCCGCCCGTAGTGCCAGCATCCCATGTAGAGGCCAGTCTGAGTCCCAGCTGCTCCACTTTCTCTCCAGCTCCCTGCTAATACTCCTGGGAAAGCAGCAGAGACGTCTGCATGTCTGGGCCCCTGATGCCCTCATGGCTGCCAGCCTCGGGTAGACACAGCTCCGCCTACTGCTGTCATTTGGAGAGCGAACCTACAGATAGAAGACCCTTCTGTCTCCTTTGAGCTCTGTAATTTTGCCTTTCACATCTTTCGATAAGAGCGCCAGGGGTACAGCGGGTTTGAGTGAATGTAGGGTGGGCATGCGAGCTCCTGTGAGCAGGGACGGGCGTGCGACCGCCGGCACCAGACCGTCAGGGGGTCCTTGCCCAGTGCGCAAAGCATGGGTGAGCATCTGAGTGCGCGGGCACCACCTTCGCGTCTTGTGAGACCATGGTGGGACGACAGCCCAGGCCACCCAGGAGGTCAGGGACTCGGCTGGCAGCAGCTCAGCCGCTCGCACCCACCAGGGCGTCCTCATCGTCCTCATCTCGTGTCTTGCTTCCACCTGCCTGACCCTGACTTGTAAACTGTTTCCGTTTCTTCGCCACGTGTCTCTTATCCCCGGCCCCTGTTCCGGTGCTGTGTACGTTGTTCTGCGGGACTTGCCGCAGCTTTTCCTGCGTGTGGGAGGGGAAGTCTCTCCTGGGTGTCGCCAGTGTGTGAACTGTGATGGAGTGACTGCGCAGCAGCAGTCAATTTTGGGCACATGACTTAGTGTCTCTGTGGCCCAGTGAAATGGGGCGCTTCTGTCTGCCTGACACTGGGTGGCGTTTGCTGTTGTTGTTTCGAAGGGGATTCCCAGCTCCCAGTTCTACAGGCTGTGAGGGTGGGAGGGCAGCGCCATGATGTCATCGGCTGTTCACGGTGTAGGAGGCTAGACCTCTGAGTGCGGTGCCAGCACCCTGATTGGCTGCACTTCCATATCCCAGCTGCTGCACTTCCCATCCAGCTCCCTGCTATGGTCTGGAAAAGCAGGTAGAGGACGGCCCAAATCCCTGGGATCCTGCACCCCCACAGGGGACCTGGAGGAAGCTCCTGGCTCCTGGCATCAGATTAGCTCAGCTCTAGATGTTGCCGCTGTTTGGGGAGTGCAAGACCTTGTGTCTCTGTCTCTCCTTCTCTGTAACTCTGCCCTTCAAAGAAAAATAAGAGTAAACATTATTATTATTATTTTAATAGTATAAAAGCAGGACAGGACTTGATCCCAAGCACTTTGATATGGAATGGTGGCAACTTACATGGAGGTTTGACCCATTACACCACACGCTGCCTGCGCCATGGCATGTACGACGAATCCAACCAAACCCCTGGGCTTTTGTTATCTTCTATAATTTATATGAAATTTCAAGATGTCTGGGGCATACGGAACAATTTTGAAAATAAAAACATGCACAGAGGAGTCATAATTATATGATTTTAAGATTTTACTAAAAATTTACACCAATCAAGACATGGAAAGGAGAATCCAGAACTGCACCCACATGGCCGGTGGGTCGGTGAATGTTGAAACAATTGTACACTTGCAAAAAAATAACCTCAACCTCAACTTCACACCCTGTCCAAGTGGCGCTCAAAGTGAGCCAGTGGCCTAGATGTAAAATACAGAGTCCTGCAGCTTTTAGAAAAAGATTATCAGTCTCAGAGAACTCTGATTTTTAAAATTTATTTTTATTGGAAAGGTGGATTTTACAGTGAAAGAAGAAGAAACAGATTTTCCATCCACTCGTTCACTCTCCAAGTGGCCACAATAGCCAAAGCTAAGCCCATCTGAAGCCAGGAGCCAGGAGCTTCTCCCAAGTCTCCCATGTGGGTGCAGAGTCCCAAGGCTTTAGACCATCCTCGACTGCTTTCCCAGGCCACAAACAGGGAGCTGGATGGGAAGCGGAGCAGCTGGGACACAACCCTGCAGCTGCATATAATGCTGGCCCCGCAGGGCAGGGGATTAGCCTACCACACCAGACCCTTGGCCCCACAGTGATAATTAACAAAAGTGAAATGTTGAAAGGGGTGAATGTCTTAAATTTTACTTTGTTCAGCCTAACAAGTAAAGTATTCTCCTAGGTTTGTCTCATTGTGAGTCAAGACAAAAATTCATATAAAACATAAGCCAATCAAATCTGCAGATAGCTTAAAGAAACAAAATAACATTGGCTAGGTAAAAATGAATGCAAAGATCGGATGTTGGGAGCCAAATGTGTCACTCTAATAAACCAGAGAAGAAATATGCACTGCTGTTGGAAGAGACTGAAAGGGAAGCCAGACCATCTGTCACCACCTAAATGAGCTCAGGAGGACACCGTGCGAGGTGTCTGAAAAATATGTCCAATATTACCGGCTCACACTCTGTGAAGAATGGCGCAGTGCTAAACCCACAGGTAGTGCTTGCAGACCCTCTGCAAGGAGTAAGCGAGGAAGCCGTCGAAAAGCCCAAGCCATCATTTGCTGCCCATGATGGTTGTGGTGGTTGCTGACTTTAAAAGCGCAAGGGCAGGTGGACATTTAGCCAAGCCATTGCGCGGGTGGCTTGGCACATCAGAGCGTCTGTACTCAGTGCCTGGCTCTGGCCTCTAGGCGGCAGCAGTGAGAACTCAGCCTCCCGCTTGCCTCCGGCTTGGATGCCGTTCCCAGCTCCCGCCTCTGGCCCAGCCCCACCTGTTGTGTGTATTTGCGGAGCAATGGGAGACCAGTGGATAGGATCTGTGTCTCTCTCTCCCGCTCTCCATATTTATATATATACATATATAATTTGTATTTATGTGTGTGTTTAATATATATAATATGCAATGCATATTATATTGTATTGTGGATATATTTTATATTATATATTAATATATAACATATATATATAAAGTTAAATGTTTAAAAGCCTGAGATAACAAATTAAAAATAGTAGACCTGGGCCTGGCACAGTAGCCTAGTGGCTAAAGTCCTCACCTCACGCACACGGGGATCCCATATGGGGACAGGTTCTAACCCCAGCAGCCCCATTTCCCATCCAGCTTCCTGCTTGTAGCCTGGGAAAGCAGTTGAGGACGGCCCAAAGCCTTGGGACCCTGCACCCATGTGGGAGACCTGGAAGAAGCTCCTGGCTCCTGGCCCTGGATCGGAGTAGCTCCAGCCATTGTGGGCATCTGGGGAGTGACAAAGTGGATGGAAGATCTTTCTCTCTGTCTCTCCTTCTTTGTAAATCTGACGTTCCAATAAATAAATAATTTTTTTAAAAAAGACAGTAGGCCTAAGCTGGCCGTCCTAGGAGGTGGCTAGGTAAAAGACGCATGTACGATAGTTTCTTTTAATACCCATCAGCAAAACCTAGATTTCAACCAATTACAAAGGTTTAAAGGGAGCCCACCGTGCAGGGCTGTCATCTGTGCTTCAAAATGACAGGCTTGTAAATGTAGGCTTAAAACCCAGTGTTGG